AAAATGAAATCATTTAAAGTGAGTTAGAATAGTTTGGTTCAACACAAGGATAGCCTGTGTCATGCTGTCCCTGTCAGCACCTTGTAAATGGGGTGAGCCCAGCTCTGAAAATATTTACTTAACAATGCAGTAATGTCTCACATCTCCCTGGGTGAGGCTTGCAACATTAACACTGAGGAAGTAACTGAGGGCCTAACAGCAAATAAAAAAGCCAACAAGTAACAGAAAAACTAAACTGTCATAAACGGCCTATTCACCAGGCTCCGTTGGCCCTTGATTTCTACAAACCATTTTATCTAACTCAGTTACTGGGTTCTCAGTTACAGCAAATCTGAAATAGCAAGTTGGGGCAGAAGCAGATGAGGAGTAAGGCAGGATGAGCATGTCCATAGCAATGAGAACTGGCAGCAAGGAAAATCGGTAAAAACTACAAAACCAGAAATATCGATATATATCTAATAGTACAGAATCCCAACTATATAATACAAGCAACAATGAAATAAGATTAACAGCTGCCACCAGGTGGCTCAGTTGGTTGAAGCATTGCCCTGTAACACCAAAAAGTTTGTGGGTTTGAGTCCTGGTCAGGGCACATACCTAGGTTTTGGGTTAGATACCTGGTCAGGAAGTATATGGGAGGCATCCAATCAATGTCTGTCTCTCCCCTCCCCCGCCCCCCCATCTTCCTCTCAATAAACATATCTTTGGGTATCCATAATAATAAAAGGGTAATATGCTAATTAGACTAGACATCTTCTGGACTTCATTCCGGACGTCCTTCCTGACCAAGCTGGGCCGGAGGAAGCCAGCCCGGTCCCAGGTGCCTGCGGGCAGTCGGGAAGCCGGTGGTGGCAGCTGGGGGAAGGAAGGTCTACTCTTGCATGAATTTTCGTGCACTGGGCCTCTAGTGAGGATATATAAAAAAAAGAAGAAATAAGAATTACAGTTCCAGGACTGCACTAAAGTGAGGGCCTTAGAAAACCTTGTTATTCTGTGCCTCACTTTCTTGTTCTGTATAACGTTCTTCAACACAATATATCTGATAAGCTTTGTGTTTTTAGAAATGATATTTAAACATTTTTTTACTGATCATAAAAGAAATATATTGTACAGAATTTGGAAATGCTAGAAGTGTACAGAAAATTTAAATTGCCAATAACCCACCACCCAGAGATAACAATCATTTACATCTTGGCGGATTTCCCCCCCAGATTTCTTCACATATAAAAATGGAAATATATATTTTTGGTAACGTTTTTATTAACCTTGCATTATCTGTGGGCATTTTCCCAACTCAAAAAGTCTTTGCAGAAATATTTTAATGACTACATATATAAAAATTTATTCTCTTATCATTATAGACTTTGGTTGGTATAAAACATTTTATAAAATATATTATACTGTACACATGACAAGACATTTAAAAATTATTATTTATCAGATCTAGATACAGAAAGAAAAATGATCAGTAAAAAGCGTATCAAACACCAAGAAAAAATTTAAAAGTTGTGGTTTGTAAAACCAGGTTATCAAATGTAGCATTTAAGTCCAATAAATAAACAAGACATTTAGAAAACGAAGTATCTAAATAAATTTTGGAAATAATCATTTTAAGTGATCTCTGATGCCAGCAATAAGAGACTTCCAATTAGGAGAATTCTGGATTATTATTATTAAATTACAACATGCTAGTGAAACAGCACCCATTAACAACTCACAGTCATTTTGCTCATTCATTCATTAAGCAAAAGAAATAAGAATTACAGTTCCAGGGCTACACTAAAGTGAGGGCCCTGAGGGAACCTAGTTATTCCGTTCTTGTTCTGTATAACATGTTCTTCAACATAATATATCTGATAAGCTTTGTTTAAGCAGCACCCATTAACAACTCATACTCATTCTGCTCATTCATTCATTCATCTACTATTCTATAGGCATTATGCTAGGCTGCATTAATATCAATATTAAGAGACTTCTTTGTAAAAGCCTTAAAAATAATGTAGCAGCATTTAAACATTTTAACAAATGAAAAAATTCACCTCAAATCCTACTAATCCTAATCCACCAACTGTATTTATTACCCAGTGTCGGTCTCACCCACTAAACCATGAGCAACTTGAGAACAAAGACTGTCACCACCTCTATATTTCCTCTATAAAAGAGAAGTTCAACGTAGGTTTGCCAAATGAGTTTACATTTACAATCTAAACTTTTTAAATCCTATTCTAAAAGCGCACATTTATACAAAGGAAATAATGTATACACGATTTTTAATGATGCTGTTTTATCTTTTCCATGTTCCTATCAGTCTTCATAATCTTAATGCTGCATAATATCTCATCACACTTATATAATATAGTTTAGAAAACAATTATCCTAATATTGTCTTTGAAGCTTGTTTCTAGTGTTTTTATATGGTATAGCTAACGCTCCAGCAAATATACCTTGCTTCCTAAGTCTCACAGATTTACTTCTGACTGGAAAAATTGGCCTCAACAATAGGGGAATATAATCTTCTACAATAAAAGGGAATGTTAAAGAGATTTTTTTACCCCAGAGGGAGAATTTAAAAGACAAAGAACACACATACAAAGAAACTCTTAGAATTCCTTTTTGCCAAATCAAAGCAATTTAAATAAATCCTCTATTAGGAAATGCGCTGTCCAAAGGAAAGTACGTTTTGTAGGACTGCTTCACACACATTTAGAAAAGATACTTCTGGGGGCAAGGAATAAAAATTCTGAGGTAACAAGCATAATGTCTACTTAAAACGTCAATGCCTTTGGAAGGAGGTGCACACTTTACCTCCACGTTCTTGGGTTCACAGAACTTGCTTAGATCCTCAGGCTGAAGAAATGTAAGCAACTTAGGGCTTCTGAAGATGGCTTGATTCCCCTTTCCTTCCATTTATAGATCCTAAAGTAACATAATCCACCTGGTAATATACAAGCACTTAAGCTTTGACTTCTGAAGGGGCTTGTGAGAAAGCCAACTATATTTTAGAAATATGAAGCTAGTTCATATACACATTCATTGAAGAGAGTTGTGTTGAGCATCTCTACTATTATATCTCTGCAGTATGGGCCTTCAGTGATTACTGAAATAATAGACCACGCCTCCTTTGTCACTTTATTTGGAGGAAGGGAAGGAGAGAGAAAAAAGCAGTTAACCAGATTATAATTTAATTGTGGTCCAAGTATGATTGCTAACAATCATCTCAAATGAGATAATATCATCTATAAAAGAGAACTTCATTATAGGGAAGGGGGCCTTTGAAGCCAGCCAAAAGATATGCTCAACTCTGTAATTTTTTAAATCGTTACCCGAGGATATATTTTTATTGATTTTTAGAGAGAGAGAGACGAAGGAAGAGAAAGAGAAATATCGATGGGTTGCCTCCTACAATGCACCCTGACCAGGAATTGAACCTACAACCGTTTAGTGTACGGGAGGACGCTCCAACTGAACCACCTGGCCAGGGCTCAAGTATGGATTTTTTTTAAATGCTACTGAATGTATATTGTCTATGTCAAATTTTTCATGAAGCCCAGTGAAAAAGCCCGCGTATAATTTTGTGTTGCCTGCTTTACAGTATTTTTTAAAACACACACGTAATGACTCGCCAAGACATAGAGTTCACTTATTTGGAGCAGGAATTACATAGGTGTCGCCGAGGCTATGGAGCCTCCCCTCCCTAGAAGTTCCATGCACAGTACATACCGCACTAACATTCCGCACCACACAAAAGCGCATGCCATGACAAAGACTCCCAACACACACGCGCGCGCGTGCACACACACACACACACACACACACAGCCATGCTTCTGAGGGTGCCCTGCACGCCGTGCACAGCTGGCACTTGTGGCACCCTCGGCCGGCCCCCGAGGAGGCAGCTGTCACAGGCCGTCCCACGCCCAGGAGGCCAGCGGGCATCTAAGAAAGCCGAGGTCACGATCCGCGAGCAAATCCCGCACCCAAGAAGGAAAAGCCCTAAAGCCCAACTTGAAAAGCACAAGGACTGCGCTCCCCAGAAAACTGCCCCCCAGCGCGACAGGCTGGAGATCCAGAAGCAACAGACACCAGTGCATAGCAATACAGTCAAGGGGGGGGGTGTCCTTGGGGGATCCCGAGAAAGAAGCCACCCCACCCCGTCCCCACGGAAGTATCTGCTGGGTGCACCGCCAGCGTTTTCATGGAAAAGGAGAGGAAAGCGAAGGGGAGG